AGTCGGGTGCAATACTCTTGCTCATAATGAAGAATTGCACAGTTTGATGTGATTGGATTGGCCATCCATCAATACATTTGAGAAACAGTCGGCATCCAAGCATCCAACCATATTCTTGAGATTGCTAAAATCTACAAACAGAGTGTGTGCAACACCACAGGGGGACCGATCAAAGGTGCTGTGGGGTCGCATTATTCTTTTATTGAAAGGTGGATTTGTTAACTGCGATTATCATTGTTTTGTTAACCGTACCTTTGCATTCAGGTCTTCGTGACCAGCGCCTGCTGGACTGGCAGATTACCATGTTACGCCCTTCTAACTTGTACCCTTCATTGCATCTGACGAATCCGACAGCACCTGTGGTCAATGGCACTGTGCTGTGTTTCACAATAGCACCGTTAGCGATGCTCGGCAAAGCACTGCATGTTGCATCTGTCCAAGAGAGCACAAGAAGGAGCACCATCAGGGAGGTGCATCAAAAGTGAAATATCTACCGTATTTCCCGGTTATAAGTTACACCTTTGTACACTAAAATTCAGGATAAGAAAGGGGGTGCGACTTACAATCGAGCATGAATTACTACTGAAGTGAATATATTGCAACAATAGTGCTCAAACCTGAAAATGGTGGTGCGACTTGTAATTGAGTGCGACTTATAATCGGGGAAATACGGTATTCCCATATTTGGTAAAAATGAGAAGGACAAAATGTTACGAGTTGTGACGAACTGTCCACAAACGGAACCAGATCTTATTCACTTTCCAACTGCTTAACCCACAACCTCACCTTCTCATAAATTTATCTCTTTTTGGCGATGGTGCCATCGTGAGAATAAATAATTCAACAACAACAACAACAACACCACAAGCACCACCTAGATAACCACCACAGTCTCGTTGGTTCTTTGAATTTTCCAATACACGGGGTCCTCCAGGGACTTCATTTTTAATGTCTCAATACAATGTGTACAATGTGTCAGGAAATTGGCTGCTTTGATTGAGCTTGTACCCTGCACTCATGTCCAAGTGAGGATACTGACTGAACTACCGCATTTCCCAAAATACCCTATTAACCATGAAAATCCATAATATCAGCACCAACGGAACACACTAACTTGTACAAATCGGTAGCGTGGACCAGCTACCCGCCATGCATATTGCTGTTTTTGGCCCGATTAGCTGATGGCCAGAGGAGCATGCTACTGTCACGACCACGCCGGATGCTGTTGCAGTTGAGTTGAATAGGGCGTTGCTGATGCTCAGACGCGGGCAATGGATTACTGAGCGAAGCACAACAAGAAAAGAGAATGTTGCATTACAATGGAATGGGAAAGATTTTGAGGTCTGAATTATTACTCGATGACAGACACAACAAATGAAATCTCTGCACATCCATGTGTATAGATATCAGGTTTACTTTTTCGTCTTTTTTGTGTTCATCTTAACCGTGGTCTAACGCCGAAATCGTGCAGTATTCCAGTAACGAGCCGGAATCCAAAATGGGCACTGAGCTTAAACACAAACATATCACGACTATTTGTTGTGTAACTTGAGGTACTGTATAGCAGGAAATTTTCGGACGGAATTTATTGTCGTACGATTTCGTACACGGCCTCTTTTGTACTAAAATTAATTCCGTACTAAGATTTGTTCCTAGATCCTGTGAAGTTATGTACACTATACATGCAAACCACATGCAAACACGTGCATTTAGCATGCAGCACTGTGCGAAAATTAAATCCGTACGAAAGGTCGAAATTCGACTTTGTTTGAAAATGTTCCCGTCCGAAAATTTCCTGCTGTACAGTTAATAATGTGGAACTTGTGGTAGTGGTGAGATGACAGTCCGCGAACCACTTGAGCCCACCTGCCACGTGTAACGCAGTACCCAAAAACCCACAGAGGTCACATACCTATGCAAGTAGGAAGGGTTGTCGTGTTCACATTACTTTCACATGTTACATTGGGGCGCCCGGCTAGCCTGAATCCATTGTTACAGGCAGCGGTGTAGTGAGGCGCATCGCCGTTGATGAGCCCGTTGGTTAGACTCGGTGCCGGGCAGTCGTATGCTGTGTTTAGGAGCACACCACATGACATCACCATACCTCGGTGAGTCATAAAGCCTCAGCGAGTCATAAGAGTTACCTTCTTTTATGCTAGGATAGACCACCAGGTGATGCAAATGGACCAAGTATTGCCCTTTTAAAAAAATTGCAAGAGTAGAAAAGCCACATGTGATCGGAAAACGCCGGATTCAGGAGCAAAAATATTGAAAGTGATGCCAGAGGCTGGAAGTTCGACGCAACGTTTGTCAGCTGCTATGCATCATCTGTCGTGAGTTGTACAGTGACAATGTACTTTCTGGTTCGTTGCAGATTGCAGTTTCACCTCTCTGATTTAGAGGCATTGTACATTCGTAAGTTGTCCCCTGATGTGTGTGTTCGGAAGTAAAATGTATTGGTGTTAGTCCACGTGTCTGTGCCAAGAATAGCCTTTCCTCATGATACGTTCGATGTTTTAGTATTATTATTAATTTTCATGCTGTTTCTGACTTGCTGGCTTTTCACACTTGTAGCGTGACGTATATCTCTCAATTCTTTGAGACAGATAAAACCGTTTTTTGTTTATTGCAGTTCACACCATTCTCTGAAAATCGTCTCCACAGTAACTTTCTGTCAATTTCTGCCTTTGTCATCTTTGCTTCAGTTCCTGCAAGAACTACAAAGAGAAGGGACCAGAAAGCTTCGGTTCCAAAAAATAATGTCTTTGCGTTCTTTTCAACTGGCGTAGACTGAGCAGATACATTCACTATATTGAACAATTGGAAACTTTTCCAGTTTGTTCTACATTGAAGAATAATAAAAAGATTTTTGCTGGTACAAGCCCATGGTAGTGTGGAGTTCCATTACACCCATATCAGCCTCTTTGTTATTTTGCTTCTGCAACTTGGTTTAGACATAACTGCAAATAGAGTGAATATTTTACTGGACAGTCTCCTTCTTTCTTTTTTTATTCTTCTTTTACCAGGGAAATCCCAACAGCTGCCGGCGCCTTTTTACAGGGAACCCTAGGTATAATTTGATGGATGAGCGAAATTCAGCTGGTGAAGTAGACATGCGGCAAGCCGGTGGAAGTGTATTCCACCTGGCAGCGCCCAAATAAGAAATTGCACTAAAGCCATATCGGGTGTTAGCGGGGAGCAGAACAAGAGCAGCAGAGACTTGGCCATGGGTGGTGGCTGCAGTGTGAGCACCATGGGCCCGCAAGGTAAGAGCGGTCTCGCAGAAGAGGACTAGCAAGTCCATTCAGGCAGCGGTAAACAAATACATAGGTTTTGAAGTTGAGGCGTTTCTCAAGGACGTACAAGTTAGTATCCTAAAAGTGATGAAGTGAATTTTATGGGGCCTTGCTTCCTAGCTCTTCAGATGGCATTAGAAGAACACCCGGCAAAACTCTGTGAAACAAAGGCCGTTCTTTTGACAATGCCTTTTTGCTGTGAGAATATCGAGTGTTAAGTCTTGTGTTTACCGCCAATTTGCTGGGCATACTTTAACGACGATTCACGAACAGTTTGCAAAAAAACACATATGCTGCTCACCTTCACAGGATATATTGGAGAGAAGCCAATTGTCTTTCCCGGCACACTCTACAACGTTTTGCTCTCCACTAAATCCGTAGCCCGGCTGGCAAGTGATGAATGCTGCCGATTTGTAATGGTTTCCGGATGGATAAGAGACCACTCCATCGCCTATGGATATGTTCATTGGACACGTTAGCTCTGAAAATGTTCCTACGATTCACACAGAATAAAAACATCCAAGGTCTGGTGGTTGGGTAAGACAATCCCAAAAAAGTGACAAAAATGACCAAAATCTGACATATCTTCAGCTGATTCAAGCTGCAGCATGCAGTTGGCGAAGTGTCACATGTTCTCGAACGGCTTCCGCAGTCTGTACTAAAAAAACGTGAGTGTGGGCAAGGATCGAGGGCCCTGGATGCAATTGCACCTTAGCTGGGTAATCTAGTGAATGACATTGTATTACACTTCCATATTTCACTGTGTTCAATTGAACCGAAGGACTGCTAGAGCTGGTGTGCGAATATGACAAGATCTGAAAGCTGTTTAGAGCAGAACTGGTCTTTCCAAACAATTGGATAACAAAAAAATTAATTGCAGAGTGCATGTTAACTTCACCTCTTACTCGTGCAGGAACCTGTACTTCTGCCATGGATATAGAAGAGTTGGAGACAATAATTATGCCATTGCAAAACTACTGGTGTCTGTCCCAAATCCATTGTCAATATGGACGACAAGGTAGAACGCACACGCAAAAAAAAAGCTGAAGCAGAACTTGAGAAAGAAGTTTGACACTTTCAGTTCCTTAGTTCAGAATGAGGTGCTGTTTCACTCGCCAACGAAGCCGCGTTCAAACTTGATGCAAGAGATCCCTACGATACAAGTCACCTTTGCCGATACTGGCTTTCATGTGTACTGCGTACGTGTTGGCTAGTAGCAGAGCCCCCGTGGATACCGAATCCAATACTATACAGAGCTTCAAGTTGATGATAGTGGGTTTGGGAGGATCATAACTCAATATTTTGTTCCGTGAAAAAGATTCTAAAATGACGGATGGATCCATTATAGGGATACGATGGGGAATTCTCTGTGTTGCATCGCGCAAACAGATTAAACACAAACCTTTCCACATCAGCCTCTTCTACAGGTTAAAAAATAATATTGAGCAATAGCGACTCTTTAACCATTTCAAAAGTTGTTCGTAACAGTACAGATTGTGTTGAAAACATATACGTATGTGAATTGCAAAGTGCAATTTATATGCCGAAAGATTGGACTGGAGGGGGGGGGGGGGGGGGGTTGTACAAGTAAAGACATGTGAGAGAACAGAGAAATACCTCAAAATCCTAAAAAGAAACGAAACAATTTTAACCGATGAGGGTGATTTTCACACCAGGGTTCTGCACAATTCTGCATGCATGTCAGGCTACTTCGTGCAGCCTCATTGCAAGACTTTATCAAGAGTGGCGTATGCGCTAAGGTCGTCAGTTTTTGCTGACGACGCTGTGTCGTTGGAAATTCGGCGTTCTGGGAGTCTCCTGGTGGACGTCCGGTGTATTGGGGTTCCCGTGCCTTTCACAACTGTAGTATACACGTCGTCCAGAGACTGCAGGTCAGTTTCAATGTCCTTGTCCAGTTGAGAGCAACCCACATCCGTTCCCTTGGTTATTGCTGAGTAGACATCAGTCTGGGAGTGCATTGTGACAAGAGTGGCCCGCTTGTCAGTGTGAACGTCTCCAGATGTTCTTTTCACTATAGGGGAGTACCCGCTGTCCTGCTGTTGCGTGTCTGCGTAAACACCCACATCAGTCTCCCCGTCCTCGTGGGCTGAGCTCGCCTGAGAGTATAAATCAGAATGGGAGATCAGGCTCTGCTGTGTGCACAGAGCGTGAGAAGAAGGTGATCCACGGGATGCCTGTGGGGAGAGCACCATCTTCGACTGGGAATACATGCTGGGCCGAATCCTGAGGCTGCTGCGTTGAGCATCCTTGTTGCCATTCGGCACACCAGTGTACACATCTGTCATAGAGTATATGCTGTCCTGAGCGCACAGTTCCGCCTGTGAGGTCCCATTTCCCGTCTGGCCTGCAGAGAACGAATCTACCCGTGAGCATTTTTCTCTTTCGGAATGCAGGGAGCCTTTCACCTTTGCCCAGTGGTTGGCCGAACGAGCATCCTTTCCTGAATGAGAGTGAGTGGTGCGTAAGGAGTCAGGTGTTGCTCTGAAACTTGAGTTAGCCGCAGTTTTGTGTTCCTCCATCTGAAAAGGACCTGCACTTGTACGGTTGGTAAGTGTGAGCTTATCCGGAGGGCTTGGGGTACATGACCAATGTCGCCGTGTGAACTGGAGGATGAAGACGAACGCCATTGCAGCCAGTATTGGGAATGCTATTATCATGATGAGGTTCTGTGTAGACTTCGACGCCGCCGCATTATTGAATGTGCCTGTTCGTGATTTATCTAATCAGGAAATGAACATCACATCAGAAAAGCAAACAAGAACAGGTCAGGCTCCCGTTGAAGTATCAGCCAAACATGATAAAACCTTAAAATTTATGTTTCAACAATAACATGTATGCACACGTAACTCCCTTTCCAATAAAAAGATTATATAGTCTGAAGTCGTGATACCTGTCACGGCAGCATTCGTGTGGTTTCTTTGGCGGAAGTCCAGGAGTCTATCAGCACCAGAAGCCGACACGCAGCCCCCCCCCCCCCCCCCAGCCTGATCACAGCCTAAACATTGAAACCAAAGACGCAGACTGTGAAGGGGACACATAAACTTACCAACGCAGTATGGGCTGTCAGACCAGCTCCCATTGGACAGACAGACAATGATGCTACTTCCATTGACTTTGTATCCTCTATTGCATGTCACATGAGCAATACTGTACACTTCAGTTGAAGACAGTGTGAGATTACCATCCCCGACCGGAATCATGGCACATGTTGCTTTCTCTACTCACAGAAAAAAAAGAAAAATGGACACAAGGAACATGTTGCATACCTAGAGTTAATATCAACCCGTGACTATAGCGGAGCTATTCAAATAGTCTCTCCATCATCAGGCTACCCCGGACTGAGACTGTATGATACAAACTTCTAGACAGCTAAAAACAATGGTACCTTCATAATGAACAAGACACCATGTTTGCTCAATACACGACTTTGAGGAACTTAAAAAGAACAGCATTCTGACCAAGGAGGGTTGTTACACAAGCAAGATTACCATGAGAGTGACGAAACGTTCCGATAGTTATACTAAATTTTGATCGTTACAATACTAAACCTACGGTGAATTCCATTGTTTAATGCACGTAGTTACGGTAATTTGTGGTCTTTATGAAGAAATCAGCATAGCGGTGGTTACAACAGGTTCCCATTACTTACTTGTACATCGTGGAACATTAGACCAGTTGCCTGCCGGCATGCAAACCATTGCCTTGTCGCCACTCAGCTGATAACCGTCATTGCAGACGACAGATCGCACGCTGTTTACACTCACATGACCAGGGTAAGACAAGCCGTTGGTGATAGTTACGGCTGGACATGTAACCATCGCTGCAATAAACGAAAACGGCGAAATTATTATAATATTATGAGTTACACATTGAGTTTTACTACAGTCCATTCATAAAAAGATGGGCTCTGGCTCTGGCGAGCTCCCGTATTTGGCGATTTTTCGTGATTTCATCGTACACAGTGCAGTTGAAATTTGAAAAAGGGTCCAAAAAGGGTACCTGAACTGGGGTTCGAACCGCACAATGCACTGTTGCAGACGGGGTCAAACGGCCTGGATTTTTATGGTTTTTCCCAATTCAATGCTTTGGGGGCAAAACCTGGCCGAAATCCTATTCTTGTTATGGCTTGCTTTTTGGAGAAAAAAACTTCAGAAACATAATTGGAAGAGGATTCCATAGAGGATTGCAGAAAAAAATTCTAAAAAAACTCAACGTTTGACCCATTTATGGCCAAAAGCTAGAAGTTCATTTTTTTCTGAATGGACTGTAGCCGACTACGAGTGTCATATCCTAACGAGAGAGCTTGGAAGCTCAGGGCCCTACGCTATGCTTTTTTTGCCTTGATGACCTAGACAAAAAAAGCATAGGGATGTTATAAACTATTTAAAAAAATCCTTTTTTTTAAGACATAACCTGGGATTCGAACCCGCACTATCGCGCGCCCTGCATGCATCCCCCGATACACTTCGCATACATACTAATTCTTCCAAGTTGTTTCACATTGTGATCTTGCATTTGAAAGCCCTATTTGAATATGCATTGTGGCAAGCCGTCTTTGATGGCACGGTACGGTAGGGGATAGGTACGGGACAGGTACGATCGAGGGTAATACGACACCGTCTCCCGTACCGTACCGTACCATCAAACACAGCTGGCCACATACAGCTGCCCGCAATATTCAAATAGGGCTTTCAAACGCAAGATAATAACGTGAAGCAACTTGGAAGAATGGGTATGAATGCGAAGTGTATGGGGGAATGCATGTAGGGCGATAGTGCGGGTTCGAATCCCAGGATATGCCTGAAAAAAAAATAGGAGAATTGAAAAATTTATAACATCCTATGCTTTTTTTGCCGTCAGATACGGATAGCGCCAGGCGTGACACAAACAAACAAACAAACAAACACACACACAAATACCAAATTAAAGCTGTGTAGACCCTGGCTAGCGCCAGACATTACTGAAGTAACGTCTTCTGCATAGCTACGGGAATAAAACCAGGTACCCCTGCGCATTTCCAGAAAAATGTACCTGATATGGAGATCTCCTAGCTCATGCAGTACATGAACATGTTCTGATGGTTATCAGTAACTGTTGCCAATTGAAAGATTGGTCAAGCAACATCAGGACGAGATTCCTCTGTGTCTGTTTGGCATGAGATTTCCTTTAAATTCTAGTGCAGATTGTAGCATATCGCCCCAAGGCTATACAGTCGTCCCTCTCTAATCCGGCACTTGTTTATCCAGCACCCTTGCAAACCAGCACCCTTGCAAACCAGCACCCTTTCTGGCAAAACGGATTCTTTCAGTTCATTTTCTACGCTTTAATCCGCCACTTGAATTCCGCCTCCAGCAGCGATTTTCTGCAACAAATCTTTCAAACTGTACATAATTCGATTTTCTAATCCAGCAGTTGTATTTCGCATACTGTCAGGGAGCATTGTAACCTACACAACACATGTAACATACACTTGGGAATATCCTATGCCAGTGCATAGGATATTCCCGGCAAGTGTATGTTACAGACATGCATTCCACAAAGTACTTGGATTGACACAGAAAATCCCTATGTTTTGACATACAACACAAACATGTATGTTAACTTGTGGGCCGGGTTGGAGGGCAGGATTTGATAATCCAGCACCCTTGTTTATCCAGCAGAAAATGCCGTTGCAAAAGGTGCCGGACAAGTTAGAGAGGGATGACTGTACTTATGGTACAGTGCTGATTGTCACACACGGAATTGTGCTATCTGTTTGGCTTAGATGCATGTGCCTACACTGGTTTGTATCACTGTATCACATTTCATTCCATTCTAACAATTTCCGATCAGTTTAGGCGGATTTGACGTACCCACTGTATCATAAAATCCGTTACTAATCAGACAGCCTGTTGATGGTCTTCAATTCTTCGAAGTACATATATATTGCTGATTGATTCTTGACACTTCGCATATTCAACATTCTTTATCCTCGGATTAAGTATAATAGAATACTTCGTAGACGAGTTCCAGGTCATTCTTCTTTTCCATTGTGTGTTGCTCCTCGTCAGTACTCCCGTTCCATGTCGAGTGTTCCCATGCATAGGGTATCTGTTGTGTCTGTTGTGAATGGTCTGTTGGCAGTGTGCTGTAAAACGGGTAACGCTTGCGACAATAAAATGCTTGCGTTTTACAAATTGTGACTGGTTTGCGCGGTTTAATGTTTGCGATTGAATACATATGTACGACATACATGTACGACACAGTCGAGTCAGTCCTTGCACTGGACTTTACATAGCGTGAGTTTGCGGAGTTCAAAATTTGCGATTCGGGGCCTCTCGCAAAATTCGTATTTTTACGTCGCAATAGTTACCCGTTATACAGTACCGGTTCGGTGACAGTGCCGTAGTGCACCCACCGTGTGCCGGGATTTATCTTCAACATAAACATTCGTATTGAGTAAGAGAATCGGCCTTGCCGTTGAACTGAATGCAAGAGATTAGTACCCCCCCCCCTCCCACACACACCCCCTCCACCCCCCCCCCCTCCACCCCACTACCCGCACCCATTCCCTTCACTGAATATGTAAAGCAGTATCATGACGTTCCATTTATTATAAGTCATGCCCTGCAAATTTTGCGGCATTAGGACAGATTTAACAGCAGTTATTGGTTGTACTCACGATAGCAAATGGGTGTTGTTGATGACCATGTTCCGTTCAGAAGACACGTCGATGTTGCATAGCCGGATAAGACAAATCTATCTTGGCATTTGTATTCTCGCACTGATTGAAAGTCATCACCTCCCGTTACCAGAAAGCCATTCGTGAAGTTTTGCAACGGCGGACAAGTAACTCCTGAGAATTGATTAAAAGGGGAAAAGAACTATCTTGATTTACTGATGATCTTTTAACTTGGGCCGTGCCAACCAAAAATGTATCTCGGGATTTTGTAAGCAAAATTATTTGAATTTATCCAACTCCTTCATGAAAAATTTGGAACTCACCTGAAATTTATATAGCATAAAGACTTGTATAAAAGCCACAGCTCATACGACATTGTTTTGGTTGGTTTTACATTATCCTAGTTGTGACAGGAGCACAAGACGGACTTTTGTGAGGATTGAAGTATTGATGTAAAATTATCACAAATGTCACTAGCATTGCAGGTATAGTTGGCATACTATAGCCCTTTCAGCCAGATTGGATTTCTAAACGTTTCTTGAGCTGCACACTTCCTTTGTTGATATCAAAATAATTCATGTTACGAGTCGAACGTGTGGCTTATACATCTTCTACATAAAACCATAGTTGTGATGTAGCCTGTCCGCTCTAGGAAGGAGCATAATGCCATGTTTTGAAGCAGTGGCTAGTATGCCAAGATCATATACGTAAAATTGTTCCAATACAAGAGTGGCATCTAATCAAGTGCGGCTTTTATCCTCGACTTTACTGTATGCCGTAAATAGGCATGAAGAGAGCATGTCTGAGAATACCAAAGTATGTGTGCAAGTGGATCTCTCCGATTTCGCTCAAATTTTGCAGGTAGGTTCCCTTTGGTGTGTGGATCGATTGTGCAAAGCCCTTGGAAAAGTTTCTGAAGGGAACCTTGAAATTTGCATACCCCTCAAAAATGGCCGAAATATCACATTATTTATGGGTCTAGAAACGAGTCGCGCCACAGAGTATACGAACAAGCTATGAACAAAAACTCCATCAAGCCAACATTCCCTCACCTTAGAAGAGTTCCTGGAGCAGTACCGCTTAGCTACGCCAGGATCCCAGAAGACGAGGTCTATCGCCCCTGACGCCACAAATTATCGTCTTGAAAATAGCCAATTTACAAGCGCTGGCAAAACAGCCAGCTACGTCCTCAATTGGCCAGAACTATACACTGGCAGATAGTAGAACACCTCTTCTAGCGCTGAGGACATGTCCCCCATATTCCTTTTGGGGTTTTCTTGAAATAAACTTTTTTGAATTTTTCCTCCCGACCATGCTGAAATACGGCCAAAGTCATACATGGGCAGGAAAGCTAGCCCCTCCGCGACGTCTCCTCAGCAATTTCTACTCCAACACTACTCCCAAGGCCGCAGAACTAAGTGTATTGTTGACTCTGACAAGGAAAAGCAGCAGTGATCACTTGTCACTCCAAACGACAAGCATCTCCGTGCGCCACCAATATTTGTTTGTGCGACTGCTGATGCAAAAGTGACTGAAGTCCTAAGCGTAGTTTTTGAATTTTACTACAAGAGGCTTGGTGAAATCACGTGCCGTGTGACGCAAGAATGCCAAGTCGCGTTGATCACGGATCACGATGTTTCAGAGTCACCTTCGTAAAGTGCGCTTGTTACTCGCCTTGAACGCCCGTTGGTCTGGAAGTGATCACACTTGTGTTGTTACTGCGCTCAAGAACATGCTGACCGTGTTGTAGGCCTACGAACTGGGACTTTCCCTGACCATGTAGGTCGAAGACCAGTGAAATGATGATGAAATCACATTCTTTATGACGTAAGAAATCTGTCATGCAGTGCACGCGACAAGTGCGTGCAGTCAGTGCTGGTCGCGTGCCAGTCAACACAAAGCGACCGAGCTCGCGAGATAGCAGCTTTCGTCGAGCAGCGACATGAAAACAAGGGGCTTTTACCATGTTTACTGTTGGACTATGTTCGGGATTGCAGGAGGTAAGTGTGAAAGATGAATAACTCTCCATGCTGTACGAGGGGCATACCGTATTTCAACGGCTTGCTGCTATTGCAACACTCCTAGGACAGTTTGTGGGGGTTCTCAGCAGATCAAGCAGGAAATGCAGCTCATCTTACCTCTGCCATCACGGTCTGTTCCGAGTAGCGTTCCAGGCACATTCGCGATCGATGGCCGCGTATCGTGGTGCAGGAAGCGTCATCGTACGTCACAGAGCACACGATCTCACCGTGCATCTTGCAATAAAATTTAAAAATTGCGCTCTCATGCCTTCAGTCACTTTTGCATCAACAGTCGCACAAAAAATTATTGGTGGCGCAAGGAGAAGCTTGTCGTTTGGAGTGACAAGTGATCACCGCTGCTTTTACTTGTCAGAGTCAAAACTACACTTTGTTCTGCGGCCTTGGGAGTAGTGTTGGAGTAGAAATTGCTGAGGAGACGTCGCGGAGGGGCGAGCTTTCCTGCGCAGGTATGACTTTGGCCGTATTTCAGCATGGTCGAGAGGAAAAATTCAAAAAGTTTATTTCAAGAAAACCCCAAAAGGAAGATGGGGGACATGTCCTCAGCGCTAGAAGAGGTGTTCTACTATCTGCCGATGTATAGTTCTGGCCAATTGAGGACGTAGCTGGCTGTTTTGCCAGCGCTTGTAAATTGGCTATTTTCAAGACGATAATTTGTGGCGTCAGGGGGTGATGGACCTCGTCTTCTGGGATCCTGGCGTGGCTAAGCGGTACTGCTCCAGGAACTCTTCTAAGGTGAGGCAATGTTGGCTTGATGGAGTTTTGTTCGTAGCTTGTTCGGATACGCTGTGGCGTGACTCGTTTCTAGACCCATAAATAATGTGATATTTCGGCCATTTTTGAGGGGTATGCAAATTTCAAGGTTCCCTTCAGAAACTTTTTCAAGGGCTTTGCACAATCGATCCACACACCAAAGGGAACCTACCTGCAAAATTTGAGCGAAATCGGAGAGATCCACTTGCACGCATACTTTGGTATTCTCAGACATGCTCTCTTAAGTTCTCAAGTGCAGAAGAATGGCAAGCTGCTACCATTGGTCAGTTCAAGCACGAGGTTTAAGCCAGCAACCCGTCGAAGTTGGGCTGGCGTTTTTTCGTACACACACTCACAGCTCTGAATGCAACACATAACTGAGGATAGACCAGTGTACAACTGCTTTAACTTTGGCCCCCCTATTTCAAGTTCAACATAATTATTACGACTCACTGGAAATCCAATGAATGTAGTTTGTCCTCAATGTGTCGAGTAAAATAGTAGGACTGGTTGGTGTTTACCGTATTTTACCGGTTGTAAATCGACCTCGGTTATAGGTCGACCCCCGTATCCGGAGGCCTCAATTCTGCATTTTAAAGTTTTCCACCAAAAAAGCACTACTAACCACTCCCTGCTACTAACACAACAACTAATCATGTAAACATTCCTTATTGGAGGGTATAACATCCCTATCTTTGAAAAGGCCAATAAACTGGCAAAAATGTGTACACATGGTGCACTCGTGCATGCAGTGCAGGTAATTTTTTTGTAAGATACTGATAGTTCCCGGTTGTAAGTCGAATCCCGGTTGTAAGTCGACCCCCACCATTTCTCCTTCTATTTTTAGTTGTAAAAGGTCAACTTACAACCGGAAAAATACGGTATTTGAATTCGCAAACCGAATGTACTGATCATATCCAATGACAATGAAGCGAATGAGGTCCACGTGACCCAAGCAGGGGAAAACTTGCAAAGGAGACACAGATTAAAAGAAAATATGGAAAAGGAAAGCTCTCAGCAAAAGAAAAAGAAAAGAAGAAAGAAAGAAAGTGTAGACTTACGGGTGCAGGTGGGATTGATTGAAGACCAGAGGCCATTATCTGTACATGTTAAAGCGGGCAGCCCTATGAGGTTATAACCAGCTTCGCACGTAAATGAGGCTACTGAGCCGGACGTGTTTCCACTCACATAAACCATTCCATTGATCGGTTTGGCCAGCATTGTGCACGTGCGAGCTGTAATTCAATAATTGTAACAATAGAATGCAAAACTCAGAGTTGTAACAAAGCTTCGGATCTCTCCCTTGTGTAACAAAAGAGTGCAAAACAAGAATGCAGCATCTTAATGGCCACACCGCTCTACCTACATCACTCCGCATTAAACACAAGGACTAGCGGGAAGCGGCACTTGTTATGGTTCCTTTGATCCAAGGATCAGAATTATTGAGGATGTGACAACAACACGATGATATCAATCCAATGCCTCATCTACGCATGCATTCACCCAAGTACAGTAAAACTTGTCAAGGTGCCCACTCGGATAACACGACCACCTGCCCTAGAAGATCACTGCAACGAGAACCAAGGGATGCTATTTCCAGTCAATTGACCCTGGATAAGGCGACCACCTGGTGACAGAGACCATATTTTGAAGGTCCCTTGAGCGATCTTTTTAGTCAGGTTTCGCTGTACGAGCACAAGCAGCCAAGTAGGATATTTCATGGCTATTGAATGTTTTTGTACCCTTCTTCTCAACCATACTACAGGAAAGAATGTACATTATATAAGGGGCAATGGCTCTAAAGATAAGCAGTTTCTAGTTTGAGCACTCTCATAAGGTACATTCGGGCCTGGTTAAATCTGGCTTTGGAACATTTATTTTTCATTGATATCAGGTTCGGCCTCATTTTCTCTGTGCTGCGCTGATGAGTCCACAAACGACGAAACAGTTCTGTCCGCCGATTGAAGATAAGCAGTTCAAATATACGGCACTCTATAATAACGAGCAACTTACCAATGCATGTCAATTCGGTCCAATTCCCAGCAGCCGTACATGTGATATTGTCACTGCCAGTGTACCCATCATTACACTCTACAAACACGCTGTCACCGTACGCATAGGATTTTGACGAGTTATGTATGACCACTGCGTTGGCGATAGTCGGTGAGCCAGGGCAGGGTCGAGCTGTGTGAAAGGAGACAAAATGGGAAAAGTAATACTTGGCAACTGACGGTAATACTAGAGAGCTTGAAAGCTCAGTGCCCTATGCTATGCTTTCTTGCCTTGGTCATCATCCATGTTATTAGAACAACCGGCTACATAATTGTATCTAAAGCGTTTCCCTCACGTTATTAGACTCCATAGCCATTATTCGGACCATGTGTCCATGTGTCATACACAACGGTATTCCACCTTCGGCGCATAGTTTTTTCTCTTTGTACAGTTTCTTTCACGTCAGTCCGCTTTGTACGCTTCACTCGCTCTTTCTTTTCCTTTCCAAGATCTTTTCCGTTTGGCATTCTTCGGCAACTGCTCTCGGCTCCAACTCTGTTGGGGTGTAAAATAGGGACTTCATACATGCATTTTGGTGTATGTAAATCATTATTCATAAAGATCAAGAACCATCCTCCTCTGTCACCCATGTTTCCTCTTTCCCTTTCCTGCATTTTCTCTACCTTGTCATACACAACGGTATTCCACATTCAGCGCATAACTTTTCTCCCAAATGGATTTTACTATTCATGTATCCTGAATATAATTAAAATCGAAGGAATCACATGGAAACGAGTTATGTGATTACTTCTATTTTAATTACATTTATTGGCTCGGTGTCCGAGTATCATGAACAGCCAACCTATAACTCTGTACTCTACAAACTTTCCACCTTTAGGAACATGCTCGACTCGCCATCCAACTCCAAATACTTATTCTGACTCTTACATTATACTCCGAATACAGCAGGCAGACGAATATGACTGTAGTAGCCGGATTTTCCCCTGCACAAATCACTTTGTATTATTATGTATTGCACTATCCATTGCTGGCCCCATCAGGTCCCTTGCTTTTAATTTAGACTAAATTAGAGATCGCTAGCTAACGCTCAGAGCTGTAACTGGCAATCTTGTACCGTATATAGATCCGTCTTTCAGTTCCTCAGCTCAGTTCTTGTAGAGTCTTTGCTTCCGTTGTTTCTGTAGTCTTACCTTCACTTGAGTCTTTCGATAATACTATACGTTCTGTGCTACCTACGTTTGTCCTTTCGTGCAATATTGTTCCCTGAGAATACCGTCTTTTGTTTTGAGTCGGAGAGACTGAACCAGTTTTGCCTTGTCACTCGGTCGCTTATCACAATGCCATTGAAGGTTTTGTTGATTCTTTTAAACTGGCCAACGGCGAGGGCTTCCCACAGATCTTGGTCAGTCCAGAAGAGAGCGTTTGATTTTCAGTGCTGCATGAGTGCCGGTGTTACCAATAGTCGTGCAGAACACCAGAAGAATATTATGCCGACGAGTAGTTATGGGAGTCAGGAATAATGATAGAATATTGTTTCGTTATTTTTAGATACAGGCCAAGTAGATTTCACTTACGCTCGCACGTTGGTGGCCTCCCGGACCATGTTCGATTTGAAAGGCAGGTGGTAGTGCCAACACCGACAAGTCTGTACCCCAGTTGGCATGAGTAGATGCGCACTGATGGAACGCTATCATCACCAGAGGATAGTTGTCCATTTGCGGGAGCGGTCGGTGCAGAGCCGCATGTTATTTCTGAAAACATCATGAAAACATACAGCAAAGAGTTACAGTGGTACAGGTCTTTCCGGAAATGTTTGGAATTACTGTCCATTCTTAAAAAATGGACTTCAATATGTAGCGTTTGGCCATAGAGTGGTCAACCTTTTGAGTTTTGTTCAGAATTGCTTTCTGCAAACCCCTATGGAATCCTCTTTTTTTCTTTCAATTACGCTATAATATAACACCAAAAGCAAGCTCTGACAAGAAAAGGGTTTCGCCCAGGTTTTACCCCAAAAGCATTGAATTGGGAAAAAACTATGAAAATCCAGGCCATTTTACTCCCGCTGCAACAGTACATTGTGCGATTCTCACCCCAGTTGAAGCACTTATTTGGAGCCCTTTTCAAATTTCAATTTTCGCAGCACTGTACTGTGTAAAAAGATCATGAAAATCGCCAATATGGAAGATCGCCCTAGCCAGGGCCCCTCTTTTTATGAATGGACTGTGGGAACTTATAATTCGAAATATCCGCCATCTGAGATCGCGTGTTTCGAACGGTTTCTTAATGTTGCAGTTTGACGAGGTAATATCTGTTTCATGTAAGAGATCGGCGTATTTGCGGTGTGTTGAAGGCAAAACAAACTATTGATTTCTTTCTGCTCTGGGTGGTAGTGAAGGTATTCTTCTGTTTTTCCGCACATGGCTCATGAAATACATGTCATCATTCACTCAATTCACTCCCTTTTGAACTAAAGGGCCAATAAATATTTTTATCACTCCATTAGTATTGACTCACATAGATTTTTGCCATACCTAAGCAGTCAAATATTCCTGCATATTTCACTCCTTAGGGCTATATTGACTGCTTATATTTGACTGCTTAGGGGTTGCGCAGTTGAACGGTGCCTAGTGCAGCATTGTCACTGCATGAGTAGGTGGTGGTGCAACGATTGTGCAATCATAAAACCGGGATTCATGAGGTTATCGTTCTGGAATTTGAAATACGGACTGTTTGTCGTGATAAATCTAATATTGACTTCGTACTTGGTCAGTATAGGAAATAAAAACCTCGTAAAAGACCTCGGCTTCGCCTCGGTCTTTTACTCGGCTTTTATTTCCTATATTGACCTCGTACTCAGTCAATATTAGATACATATCCAACACCGGTCAATGTTTATGTAAGCAGAGCTATCAAGCAAGTCACAGAGCACCACGAATAATCCGTGTACAGTGAAGAACCTTAAGCCGTTAGCGTGCATGGTTCGAGATCGCACCATAGAAGCTTGGGCACTTGCGCATATACTCTACTCATCTTAACCCTGCACCAGCCGCAGGATTTATATGTAAAAAAAACTGGGTCCACTACATGGATAATAGAGACTAAACGGTAAATATTTTGTATTGACATCTTTACAGTTCTGGAAAGCTGGTAGTATTACCTTTCATATGAGACAACTAAGCTGATAACATGTAGAAACGTTGCCATTCATGGTGACCAATAACTTGGGCAATGCGGCCGAATTAGCAAATTCGAGGACCATGACAATATGTACACTGTTCGGCTTCAGCTCATGCACCAGTTCATCTGTCAAGATTCAAACACCAGCAGAACCAGGTTGCTCTAGCGCTTATTTTTTGGTGCATGTCACGCATGGGCTGTGCACTGGGGAATTCGCAAACACATACTTCAGCATGAAGCGCGTCACAGCCACACGCTTGAAATTTCAACTCCACCCGTTTGCTGGACCTCGAGCTTCGGCGCTTGAGTATTTTACGTTGCTCTATATCGAATGATACATTGTTAGAAAGCTGCGTTCAATAGCTTTCCAATGAGCCTGCATATGTTGAATTTGAAGTAGGCAGACCGAAGTTATAGCTGTTTGTACACTGCTCTATGCTCGTTTGTAGCATGAAATACGCCACAGTCACACGCTTGAAATTTCAACTTCAACCTGTTTCCTGGACTATGAGCTTCAGCGCTTGAGTATATTTTACCTCGCGCTATATCGAATGAAACATTATTGGAAAGCTGCGTTCAATAGCTTTCCAATGAGCCGTCATTTGTTGAATTTGAAGTAGCCGATTTTCTCGAAAAAAAATTATGTGCAGCACACGGTTTTCTCGATGGTAGGTGATTCCGTAGGTTTTCAGCAGTAGTTTGCGATTATTCCGACCGCGGTGTGGCAAAAGACCATGGTTTACAGAGCGAAAATGAATGCATCGAATTCGACGCGTTCGCGCTATGTACGGCTGGTAAAGGATTAACTCAGCCACTTCTCAAACGAAATTTAAAATCGAAATATCTAGCAGGTAGCCGAGAGACTTAGCTATCGGCTCGAACAACTCACAGCTAACTACGATGATGTTTGCGCCAGCCGCGTGCGAACGAACATTCACGCTTTTGTGCTGAACAAAAATTCCAACATTCTTTTTGCGCACAACAGAGATTTCCCCTGCGTCGGCCAAGGATGCGTGTGTCATCACTCCCAAAGAAGATGGCCAAGGATGTGTTGCATGTTTTCGAGAAAAAAATGATGACTTTTGATCAAAGGAAAGTGTGATGGCAGGACAAGCGAATTTGGCACTGTGACTTGGAGTTGTTGTGTTGTTCCTGGAGGTGTAGTGGTGGACAGTGATGGTTTATCATGATCAGTTTGAGATCGTTGTTCTCCTCTTTCCAAGAGCTTTCAAGTAAGCCCAAGCTCATCTAAATTGGCGAAGCACAACTGATGTTATGGTGAAAAATCGAACAATTAGTAAGGACAGGTTGTTGCCAATTTCGTAAAATTGAACTCTGAAGGGTAAATATGGTTGTGATAATTAAAAAAACTCGACCCTAGTAGTGACAATAGCGACGACAATGACGACAATTACCGATGTTTTCCTGTAAAGTAAGCGGTAGATGTGAACTGATGTTTGTCATTTGGATGCTTTGCACGCGTGCAAGTGGGGTTTCAACCAATACAAATGGCTGACGTGGGATAGTGCCCTGTGTTTACAGGCAAATACTGCAACAATGTGGAGGTGTATTGGACTCGGCTCATGTGAAATTTATGTAGCCTTGAAAATACTGGAAATAACAAACATTTCACATGTTTTGAAAGGTTTAGCAAACTTCAAACTCCAAGGATCAGGCTGGGAAGTGAACTTCCTAGAAAGGGAAAAAAAACCAACACAACTAGCGCTCAACCCTTAGCCCATGATGGATTGGCATGGTCTTGATAATCAATGACCTAATGTTTAGTTCTGTGACATCTCGCAAGTGAAAACAAACATCTGTCAAGCCATTGGTGCTTTCTTTTCTTTACCCTTTGCATGCTGAGCCCTTTTCTCCAATCCACTGGCTTTCCAGCGCACTGACTCTCTTGGTGGAGTATGCACTCACAGCTCCGAACGAAATTTATTCTCATTTCACTCCACCTTGTTGGATTTTCATCGTCCTTGTCTCGTTGGAAAGATCAGGACCAAGCGAATCCATCCTGGCAGCTCTCAGCTCCATAGACACATCAGGGCCACTTCCATGTCCTCTCCAAACTACTCCACCGGGCCTCGGAACAGCACAACTCAATTTCACATTCTTGTTCGGCTTCTTGCCCAAATTCAACAGATTTTCACAATTCAAACTGCGCTGCAAAGCTCAGATCCAAGCGCTTCATTTGATGTCCATCACGCATGCGCCGTACGAAAGGAAAATCCCCTGGCAGGCTCCTCCACAAAAAGAAATCATGAACAAAACACTTCACGTTCACTCTGGGCCGTGATTTCCGTGTTCATCTTGTCACCACTCAATGAATTCTTATCCTATCGCAAAGAAAGATGAGGTCAAGACCTTTCCAACGCTGTATTGATTGTCACGATGTGTTTATGTTTGACGAAGTTACGAAAGTTTGTACACTGGTCTTTGTGGATCAGGTCATGGCCTGCAATCGAGAACATCTGAGAGTTGTAATTTTTGTACTCCTCCGAGGTGTGATTTTTGGCGTGCTGGGCCAAGCACAAGGAAGCCATCTGCAAAAAAACTGCAGAAAATGGTTGTTGTTTGATCCTTTGGTGTAATCTTTGTTTCTAGTCGAAGCTAGTTGCTGTTTGGAGCAGAAACGCTGAAATTGACTATTTTCTGCATGTACTCATACATGTACTCATGTACTCAGGCATGCAGTCTCACTCGTATTTTAGCTCTTTCTTCCTGGAACGGATGCTGCTCTGCGCCCCTTGGTGAACATTTCCTGCGCTCGTAGAGCAGCTGAAAAGGACCTCTGGTATGTCTGGTTCCTGGTTGGAAAGTGGAGAGTCGACTTTTGTGCCTTGAAAAAGGACTAGAGGGCGATAAAGGTACGTCTGTGGCTTTTTTTTGAGTGCTCCTCGTACATTTTTGATCGTGATAGAAATTCTCAGACCAAAGTCAGACCAAAGTCAGATGATGGCCGTACAGTTTTCTTGTGGATTTTTTAGTTGTTTCATCTCGTATCTATGTCAGCATCGTGATGGTGAAGTGGAGAGGGTGAATTTCTTCCTCTAGGCTTCGTTCGGCCGACTTTGCTTCGTCCTCGTCGAAAAGTGATCCAGAAAAAAAGGTCAATTCGCAAAATTATGTTGATTTTGAATGTACGTGATGACATGCGATTGCTGGCTATGCATGCATAAAGTCCGAGTTAACTCGTACTCAGCACGCAAAGGGTTAATCCTTTGCCCTCTATCAAAGTAAAACAATGATGTAACTTAAACATGTGAGAACATGTGTTAGGTACCTCATCTCGTAGTTTCTACAACCTTTTCCAAGCTGGCCTGCATGCACCCCATACTCACCTTGTGTCTTCTTTTGTCACCTTTTCGTTCTGGTTGCCTGAGCAGCTACTTGCTCGCCCATATTTGCCATACATGTCAGTACTCAGGCCCTTTTATCCTGCATTCACCCTGACTCGATCTCGCTCTCTATTCCATAACGTTGCCATTTCGTTCATCCTTGTCTCCGTCTCTTCATCTATAATAAATGTCTTCCCTACAACCCGCTCCCATTGTCCGTCGTGTCTAGGAGTATGACTCCTTTTCATCTCAACACATGCACCATGTTGGAAGTTTGACTGTGATCAATAATGGCAAATGTGAGATTTCAGAGACCCAATTCTTCCCCAGCAAAGGCAGGTACATGAGCCCCAGCCAGCAGATACCTGAACATGTGTAATTTGTTCGCTCGAAATTGATTCTACACTATTAATCATTCAAGTAATCAAGTTTGGTGACAATCTGATAAGTGAAAGCATGGATCATAGAGTTTGAAGTCACACAGGTCAAGATTCGGTACAGTTGGCGCAGCATCCATGCCCAGTGACTCCATGCATGTTGATCCTACAGTTTCTGATTGTGATGTGGAACAGGTACATGTAAGTAAATAGAATGCAAGTCAGGCTTGCCCTCTTGGTGCTGCAGGCATGAGTAGTTCAGAAGTATGACGATATTCCGTATACACCACTACCTTCTTTACAACACCAGAGTGCAAAACGATGATTGGTGGCTGGCTTTCTAAATTGTGTTCAGGGACCTCTGTGCTGGCAGTTTGAGCGTTGTCCCAAAGCTTACCATGCTGATAGATGTACTGGCCAATACCACTGACATCCACTCCCTTGCACACTTTCACTCAGACCATGATTTCAGCCTAATTGTATTTCAATGATATGAGCGAATACTCGCGTTTTGTAGCACGTGAAGATGTTGCCCCAAAGCGTTCAGCCGGTTTGTTTTTTTAGGAATCCCCTTTCTCAGCACAGTCTGCAGCCAGCTTGGCATTGTCTGGCAAGGTAGAGTACTGATAATACTACGCTCTGTTTTGCGCCGTGAGAAGCCCTCCATCAGTGTCTGCAACATGATTATTGTCGATGTAGAAATACGGATCGCGCAGCGGGTCGACATTCAGCTTCTCCTCGCAGTCGCTATTACGCCAGCACTATCGTCGCCACCAGTATCCAGTGTCGATTTTATGAGGGCTCTTCGTTGCTATGAATATGAGACTTGCCACTGCTGGACAAACACAGAGCGATCGCCACCAAAGAAATAATTCCGATCGCGAACTAACTTTCAGTGCCGCTTCGTACAGTGAGTCTCACGCTGACAACTCTGGACCTAAGTCCTTGTCGCGACACCTTTCGCCATCGCTGTGTCTAAACTCAACCTCCATTTGACGAGCTCTCACCTAGCGCTAAAATCAATTGACCAGACTCATTTGAACACACTTGAAACTCCTTTGACAATGAAGACACCCACTCGATCGAAAAAGAATCTTCCGAAGTCAGCTCACTGCGCGTCCCAAACTTTGACGTCACATTTTGATGATTGATATCAAGCACACCAGTGCTGGTTTTTGCTAGCCGGGGCTCATTTTACTTACTTGTACACGTCGGTTTACTCAGAGACCATGTAAAGTTCGGTTGGCAGACAGTGAAACTGACTCCAGACAACTCATATCCAGGATTGCAAGAAAAGGTGCGGAGTTTTAACACCCTTCTCCCTTCACCAGATACTTTTCCATTAGGAAGAGTCTTAATTGGCGGCGGGCATTTATGTCCTGTGAGCAGAGAAATATCCATACATGATGCTCACCCAAACATTCTGAGCAACGGTCTTCTAACATCGACAGAGCTTCAATGGCGTGAAACAAGCGGAGCAAGTCAGTAGTAAAAACATCATAATGCCGAGTTTCAAAGTGTGCCCAGAGTGCACTTTCCAACGGGACACAGCACACCCTAGCCATGTTTGTTGTGTCCAGCATGCATACTGTTGCAGTCAGCGAACAGCGTAGCAAGTGCTGTGTTATGATCACACTCAGGTATAAATAAGGTGATCATGTGTATTCAAAACTTGTGTTGACAATAACATTGGCACACATCAGTATTCTTCAACCAACATTTCTCATGGTGTCGATCCATTGGTTAAGTTGTCATCGATTTCCAGTATCATATTTCACTTGTGAGAAGAATGACGTCATCAGTGCTAGTTTTTATGTTCAGATTTCAACTCCAAACACGGAGAAAACGAAAAATGGCAAGGCAGCGCATCCAGGTGAATTGGATAACCTTTGGGCTCTAGATAAAGGATATTGTACGTAGAGAATAACATTTCGCTGGAAAAACTGTGTCGACTTGTTTTGACATACGCACTGTACACGTTCAGTATACAAAGTTGTCGTGCCTCGAGGTCTGCTCAGACTCACCACCGCGACGAACGGGTGTTTAATATCGATATCCAGCACATTTCCGCTAGCTGGGATAAACAGCTAGGCAATGCAACAGCTCTCATTCGCCAGAAACAAACCCCACACGTTGTGTTGATGGAGGAAGCTGTCGTTGTTGTTTTGCAAATGGATGACATTGTCTCCTAAACACAAAATGACTATGAAGCTTATTATGCACAACAACAATGTAGCCGTACCATTCCCTTGAGCCTCGCATGCCGGCATGCACTTGAGTAGGGCACTTGACTCCCACGCTCGACCGCTTGTCACAACTGAGTCTCGTATGCGACTGTGCTTGTGATTTGCCATTGCACTCTGTACTGTACTGATGTACAGAAACAAGACGCATGGACGTGCGTAGACTCTCAATCGACACTGCGCTTTGAGCTAGATGTGTCCGTGGGGCATTGCCCAACTAGAACTGGAGTCGTCACATGTCGAAGGTCGCGCCGTGCTGATCACTTTTGTCAGCAGAACTCCTGATCACGACTTAACACACGGATTCCGTCCGATGGCATCCCCCCCCCCCCCCCCCCTGCGAGTGGGGAACTCCATGCCCGCGCGTTAAAGGAGAAAGTCATGATCTTTGAATCCTTCGCCAGAGAAAGCCGGTTGGGCTCGAAACAACATAAAGCAATAGCCATGGTACTCGTACAGGTCGCGATGTGACTCGCCTCTCTCCGATCCGAGTGCTGTGAAAAGACTATCTTTCAAAACGAGATTTTGAAAAAGACCCAACCGCGTCGAATGCGGCTAAACGAAGTATTTTCCTTGGTAACATGATTTCAGTCACATTATTACCATGGAGAGCTGCAGTGCAGATCTTGAAGCACAGCGGCTCCAGAAAAGTGTCCGTATTCTAATTGAGCAACTGTTTGAATTCGTGCGTTACCGGAATTAACCCCTTTACCACTGCAGGGTCCTGGCACCTGGTCACTAACGACCAGCCAAAATGGGTCATGTTTAGTGTTGAAACGAGCGTATCTATAACAAACGAGCGATCAGTTCCACTAACGAGCAAGCTATCAAGCGAGCTAACGAGTTTCATTGATGTGGCAAATATAAATATTTTTTTGAATAATCTTTTTCTAAGTTCGATTTTTTTCAGCTGGTTCAAATTATCACCGCCGGCATTTGGGGTTGCTGCTGCTTCACTTCGGACTGCTGTTTGGTGTCGAGAGGTCTTTTCAGCGCCATCGTCGATTAGCCTTTGTAGGAAAAGACCGTTTTGCAAAGATTGCAAGTAGCCCTGGTCTTCGCTGCATCGCGGGAAAAAACTTCCAAACGACTGAGCGTAACTTTCACTCGAATGGAGAGGTGACCGAAGCATATCCTGCGACAGGTCAGCAGATGCGGAACAAGACATCACTCAAGTGTCGTGCAGGCATACAGTAACCTGTAACTGCGAGTGATTTTCACTTTGCGCGGGACTGGACTCTCGATCGACCAGGGAGTCGTAAAATATTTTACGACTCCCCGGTCGCCATGTACTGCCATGTGTACGGAGTACGGTGTACAGTGTTGTTCGTTAGTGCAAACGAGCTGGCCGCACAAACGAGCCGAGTTTCTGGCGAGCAAGCTAACGAGTATCCGGTGAGATCGTTTCAACACTAGACTCATGTTTACTGAAAATGCGGGACCTCTAAAAGGTTCACAACTTTGGCATCCTCTCTCCGATTTCCTATATCCAGACTTTCCAGGAAAACTAGAAGTTGCCATGGCACCAAGCAAAAAATGAAGAAAAAAAGAAAATCAAGCGCCCATGCATGGTGCAAAAAAAAGTGGTTTTGCCTGTGTTAAGCTGTATAGCCGTCGAGTTCCACAACTTGGCGGTCCGTTCTCCAGTCACTTCGGCAATAATTACCAGTACGTATATATACACCCTTCGCGGTGAAAGGGTTAAACATTAGTTTGCATGAGTGGGAAGGATTTTTTCCACCGTGCTGCGAACCATAGTTGAATAAAAACTCGTAGCCTGGCTTCAGGGTTCTAATTATGCGAAAAGGAATTCGCAGTATCTGACAACTTTTATAAGTCTGATCTGTCCATCTACCATTTCTCTCGGATAAAAAAGTGCGAGATAGCTGAGGCCTATTACTTCCACAAACGTGCCCAAGCATTGTTACTTACTGGTACAAATTGGTGGATTTGCCGACCATCTTCCATTCGGTCCACACACGATAGCACTAGCACCTGTCATTTCGTATCCAAGATGGCAGGAAAAGTGCCGGATTTCCAGGAAAGCAGTGCCTCCAGCTGATACATTTGCACTCTTGGGACCGAACGACAGGCGCGGACATGTTATCTCTGCGTGCACAGCAATTACCACACGTCAAATCGCACTTCAAAACTTTATTAAGCCGTACCAAGATGCGTAATTTTGGCCAAACAAAGATAGAAGGTTTTCAAACGAATTCCAACTGCTATTGTCATTATGCACTTTCCACTCTCCCATCTGCATTTGCTAGTCTTACCTGTTTGTGAATACATAATGACGTGAAGCATTTAAAATATTTTCATAGTGCAAAAAAACACCCGTCAAAGCGACTTCATAATATTTATAAACCCGACACCATCAAAGACTCAAATGCTTTATATTTTGCAAACCTATTCTACGTAAAGTTAAATTTGAAAACCGACCGGCTTGCAGCTATGAGAAATAATCAAAGAACCGTGTCACACCCAGAATTCTTTGCTGCATGATTAGGGGTTGAGCGACTTGTCAGGGGGGGGGGGAGGGGGGAGGAGGGGGGCGGAGGGGGGGGGGGGGGAGTGCCAGGTGCTATTAATGCAGATGAGTGTGATCACAGTGTGGCGTTGCAAGAAACGAAACGTTCGCCTTCAGTCCACACAGAATATGGTCTCTTCTAATTGGATTTTCGTCTCAGTGCAGTTTGTGATGAGATTCATACTCAGACTAATTTTACAGCTAACCGCTTTAGGCTTCAACTATAACAGGTACAACAATCACATACAAACAGCATTCCGGTATAAATCATCCTGGCGACGCGCGCGAAATGCAAAATGCGCTGTTCAGGTTTTCAGCAACCGGCGCACCCTGTAGAAAGCCACGTTTGTTGTTTCCGTCGTTTTCGCGCTCCATTTCCCGTGCACAACCTTTTTCCTGTAACTGTCGTCAAACGTATAGCATTACCATCAGCATCCAATAATTTTTTTTAATTTCCTGGTTTTTTCCAGCACGTGGCACACACGCTTTGCTACGACAAGGTCACATGCTGGCTGTGTGAAAACGTCATCTATGCAGACCAAAAATTGTAACGTTGTTGCGTACCGACTTGCATTGACATATGCACGAACGTTTGCACAGTGATTTTACGTAGTGTGGTTGCGGCCTTTGAAATACTTTACAACAATAATGTACAAGGTACGAATTACCTAAGGACACATGTGTAAGAGTTGTTTTGATTTACTTTCCACTACTGTACCGACATCATAGGCCGTCAGAAAGCGGAAAACTGACAGACTACTCAGACAACCAAACGACCTGACACATAGTTCTAACTCATCTCCAGTTGCCAAACCGACATTCAAACACATGGCTGCTTTCTTATGTTTTCTATTGATATTGGCTCAGTACCCGATTTCAATACAATTTTAGCCTTTTTCATGTTGTCACCAAAGAATGTGTGATCACCCTAAAATCACGGCATGCAGTAGAAATATGGTGGAAATTTGCATTGCTGACTTTTACGACACGTAGATGGCATGATATCCTGAGAAAGGATGTTTCGTTCCCTGCATTTCTCCTAAGGAGCAGGTGAATCTGAGTCGGGTGCAATACTCTTGCTCATAATGAAGAATTGCACAGTTTGATGTGATTGGATTGGCCATCCATCAATACATTTGAGAAACAGTCGGCATCCAAGCATCCAACCATATTCTTGAGATTGCTAAAATCTACAAACAGAGTGTGTGCAACACCACAGGGGGACCGATCAAAGGTGCTGTGGGGTCGCATTATTCTTTTATTGAAAGGTGGATTTGTTAACTGCGATTATCATTGTTTTGTTAACCGTACCTTTGCATTCAGGTCTTCGTGACCAGCGCCTGCTGGACTGGCAGATTACCATGTTACGCCCTTCTAACTTGTACCCTTCATTGCATCTGACGAATCCGACAGCACCTGTGGTCAATGGCACTGTGCTGTGTTTCACAATAGCACCGTTAGCGATGCTCGGCAAAGCACTGCATGTTGCATCTGTCCAAGAGAGCACAAGAAGGAGCACCATCAGGGAGGTGCATCAAAAGTGAAATATCTACCGTATTTCCCGGTTATAAGTTACACCTTTGTACACTAAAATTCAGGATAAGAAAGGGGGTGCGACTTACAATCGAGCATGAATTACTACTGAAGTGAATATATTGCAACAATAGTGCTCAAACCTGAAAATGGTGGTGCGACTTGTAATTGAGTGCGACTTATAATCGGGGAAATACGGTATTCCCATATTTGGTAAAAATGAGAAGGACAAAATGTTACGAGTTGTGACGAACTGTCCACAAACGGAACCAGATCTTATTCACTTTCCAACTGCTTAACCCACAACCTCACCTTCTCATAAATTTATCTCTTTTTGGCGATGGTGCCATCGTGAGAATAAATAATTCAACAACAACAACAACAACACCACAAGCACCACCTAGATAACCACCACAGTCTCGTTGGTTCTTTGAATTTTCCAATACACGGGGTCCTCCAGGGACTTCATTTTTAATGTCTCAATACAATGTGTACAATGTGTCAGGAAATTGGCTGCTTTGATTGAGCTTGTACCCTGCACTCATGTCCAAGTGAGGATACTGACTGAACTACCGCATTTCCCAAAATACCCTATTAACCATGAAAATCCATAATATCAGCACCAACGGAACACACTAACTTGTACAAATCGGTAGCGTGGACCAGCTACCCGCCATGCATATTGCTGTTTTTGGCCCGATTAGCTGATGGCCAGAGGAGCATGCTACTGTCACGACCACGCCGGATGCTGTTGCAGTTGAGTTGAATAGGGCGTTGCTGATGCTCAGACGCGGGCAATGGATTACTGAGCGAAGCACAACAAGAAAAGAGAATGTTGCATTACAATGGAATGGGAAAGATTTTGAGGTCTGAATTATTACTCGATGACAGACACAACAAATGAAATCTCTGCACATCCATGTGTATAGATATCAGGTTTACTTTTTCGTCTTTTTTGTGTTCATCTTAACCGTGGTCTAACGCCGAAATCGTGCAGTATTCCAGTAACGAGCCGGAATCCAAAATGGGCACTGAGCTTAAACACAAACATATCACGACTATTTGTTGTGTAACTTGAGGTACTGTATAGCAGGAAATTTTCGGACGGAATTTATTGTCGTACGATTTCGTACACGGCCTCTTTTGTACTAAAATTAATTCCGTACTAAGATTTGTTCCTAGATCCTGTGAAGTTATGTACACTATACATGCAAACCACATGCAAACACGTGCATTTAGCATGCAGCACTGTGCGAAAATTAAATCCGTACGAAAGGTCGAAATTCGACTTTGTTTGAAAATGTTCCCGTCCGAAAATTTCCTGCTGTACAGTTAATAATGTGGAACTTGTGGTAGTGGTGAGATGACAGTCCGCGAACCACTTGAGCCCACCTGCCACGTGTAACGCAGTACCCAAAAACCCACAGAGGTCACATACCTATGCAAGTAGGAAGGGTTGTCGTGTTCACATTACTTTCACATGTTACATTGGGGCGCCCGGCTAGCCTGAATCCATTGTTACAGGCAGCGGTGTAGTGAGGCGCATCGCCGTTGATGAGCCCGTTGGTTAGACTCGGTGCCGGGCAGTCGTATGCTGTGTTTAGGAGCACACCACATGACATCACCATACCTCGGTGAGTCATAAAGCCTCAGCGAGTCATAAGAGTTACCTTCTTTTATGCTAGGATAGACCACCAGGTGATGCAAATGGACCAAGTATTGCCCTTTTAAAAAAATTGCAAGAGTAGAAAAGCCACATGTGATCGGAAAACGCCGGATTCAGGAGCAAAAATATTGAAAGTGATGCCAGAGGCTGGAAGTTCGACGCAACGTTTGTCAGCTGCTATGCATCATCTGTCGTGAGTTGTACAGTGACAATGTACTTTCTGGTTCGTTGCAGATTGCAGTTTCACCTCTCTGATTTAGAGGCATTGTACATTCGTAAGTTGTCCCCTGATGTGTGTGTTCGGAAGTAAAATGTATTGGTGTTAGTCCACGTGTCTGTGCCAAGAATAGCCTTTCCTCATGATACGTTCGATGTTTTAGTATTATTATTAATTTTCATGCTGTTTCTGACTTGCTGGCTTTTCACACTTGTAGCGTGACGTATATCTCTCAATTCTTTGAGACAGATAAAACCGTTTTTTGTTTATTGCAGTTCACACCATTCTCTGAAAATCGTCTCCACAGTAACTTTCTGTCAATTTCTGCCTTTGTCATCTTTGCTTCAGTTCCTGCAAGAACTACAAAGAGAAGGGACCAGAAAGCTTCGGTTCCAAAAAATAATGTCTTTGCGTTCTTTTCAACTGGCGTAGACTGAGCAGATACATTCACTATATTGAACAATTGGAAACTTTTCCAGTTTGTTCTACATTGAAGAATAATAAAAAGATTTTTGCTGGTACAAGCCCATGGTAGTGTGGAGTTCCATTACACCCATATCAGCCTCTTTGTTATTTTGCTTCTGCAACTTGGTTTAGACATAACTGCAAATAGAGTGAATATTTTACTGGACAGTCTCCTTCTTTCTTTTTTTATTCTTCTTTTACCAGGGAAATCCCAACAGCTGCCGGCGCCTTTTTACAGGGAACCCTAGGTATAATTTGATGGATGAGCGAAATTCAGCTGGTGAAGTAGACATGCGGCAAGCCGGTGGAAGTGTATTCCACCTGGCAGCGCCCAAATAAGAAATTGCACTAAAGCCATATCGGGTGTTAGCGGGGAGCAGAACAAGAGCAGCAGAGACTTGGCCATGGGTGGTGGCTGCAGTGTGAGCACCATGGGCCCGCAAGGTAAGAGCGGTCTCGCAGAAGAGGACTAGCAAGTCCATTCAGGCAGCGGTAAACAAATACATAGGTTTTGAAGTTGAGGCGTTTCTCAAGGACGTACAAGTTAGTATCCTAAAAGTGATGAAGTGAATTTTATGGGGCCTTGCTTCCTAGCTCTTCAGATGGCATTAGAAGAACACCCGGCAAAACTCTGTGAAACAAAGGCCGTTCTTTTGACAATGCCTTTTTGCTGTGAGAATATCGAGTGTTAAGTCTTGTGTTTACCGCCAATTTGCTGGGCATACTTTAACGACGATTCACGAACAGTTTGCAAAAAAACACATATGCTGCTCACCTTCACAGGATATATTGGAGAGAAGCCAATTGTCTTTCCCGGCACACTCTACAACGTTTTGCTCTCCACTAAATCCGTAGCCCGGCTGGCAAGTGATGAATGCTGCCGATTTGTAATGGTTTCCGGATGGATAAGAGACCACTCCATCGCCTATGGATATGTTCATTGGACACGTTAGCTCTGAAAATGTTCCTACGATTCACACAGAATAAAAACATCCAAGGTCTGGTGGTTGGGTAAGACAATCCCAAAAAAGTGACAAAAATGACCAAAATCTGACATATCTTCAGCTGATTCAAGCTGCAGCATGCAGTTGGCGAAGTGTCACATGTTCTCGAACGGCTTCCGCAGTCTGTACTAAAAAAACGTGAGTGTGGGCAAGGATCGAGGGCCCTGGATGCAATTGCACCTTAGCTGGGTAATCTAGTGAATGACATTGTATTACACTTCCATATTTCACTGTGTTCAATTGAACCGAAGGACTGCTAGAGCTGGTGTGCGAATATGACAAGATCTGAAAGCTGTTTAGAGCAGAACTGGTCTTTCCAAACAATTGGATAACAAAAAAATTAATTGCAGAGTGCATGTTAACTTCACACCATTCTCTGGAAATCGTCTCCATGGCAACTGACTGTCATCGTTCATAATAGTGCTTGTTACCCCTGCGGGCAGAGCACTCTAACAGCATCCCCTCTACGTATGAACTCCCAGGAACAGTCATGCCGTTATTATTGAAAATAGCAACACGAGCCAAAGATATCGGTTTATCACAAGGCGTCTATGATGTTCTCTTCAAAGAGCCGTCTGGAGCAGACGATGACACTGAACAGCGCCATATACACATGCATAATGCGGGACCAATCCCCAAGTCAGATACGGTCATGCGAGGTTGCACGGTACAAATGCCAAGGAATGAAGGGTTCTTCACGGAACATCCGTGTCTCACATGCAGGCCACAAAGAGAACAGAGATACATAGAGAGCTTGGACAGAGGGCAGCAGCTACAGTGTGGTTGATTGTGTCAACAACAACTCTACAGTGCTTGAGACACAGTTCTGTCCTGGTGTGTTGCATGGTTCAGGTTTGAGCCTTTCGCAGCAGTGTATAGTGTGCGGTGCTGTGCTGTGTAGGTAATGCAGGAAAGGAATTTGAAGGCCAGAAAAGTTGACGGAAATGCACCGTCCACAATTTGGTGTGAGATGCCCTTTCACATTAATTTGGTCGTTTACCGGACTGGCAACAGTGCATGGAGTCAGTGCGCCTAGGCCTGTGCGATGTACACAGGGTATTTTCTTCTTCTTTTCTACGCGGAATTTTCGGTAAAACAGAGATAATACACACAAAGAATGAACACTTTGCATTAACCCAAGAGGTGCCACTGAACGCCTGAAAATATGCAAGTGCATGGCACTCCACCATTTCCACCATAACTTACATTCTGTTTGCTTGATTTAGCAATCTAGGGGTCTTTGAAACGCTCTTTCTGCTGCAAAGAGAATGAGGCCGCTCTCAACTCCATGGATGCCACAAAGGCTGCTCCAGAGCGCAGCGATTGGCCATAGGTTGGGCCTCGTGAAAGAAATACTTCTAAATTTTGTTCCAACGCCATTTCGAAGTCGTTTCTTGCCCAACTCTGGATCTGTTGCATCTCAATCGGTAGATTCTACGTCATTACACCCACATGTCATGAGCTGGCTACACCATGTAATCCACGGGAAATCCCCGCAAGCACGCAGCAAAAAAAAAGATTTTGAAAAGTTTGAACAATTTAGTGCCGCGGTCCAACTTTCGAGCGCCATATCTTTATCATCGTTTCTCCTATCGCAAAGGCGATTACTGTAAAAGCCATTATTCTAACGAGGCGCATATACATGTACAATGATTTCCTAAAATTGACTGGTTTACGTGTACGAAAGGTAACGATTCTCACTCAACGCTCAATAGAACAGTGTATGTATCGATTTCTGTATAACGATTTATATTTTAACGACAGATTTCTCCTCGTTAAATCATTAGAATTAGCACTTCGTTATACATATACGGCTTTTACAGTAGTCGGATTACACCATTGGACAGATTTTCCCAACAGGACTAACAACATAATAAGTCACCACCACTACACACAGGACTAACAACATTGGGTTTTTTAAGTCACAAGTCAACAAACAAGCTCCCATCTTACCATTCGAACTTGCATTGTCCATTTTACCCAAACACACAAGAACAGATTTGTGAAGGGGACATCTTTCTCCTGCGGGCGTTATTTTGCTTCCGTTACTCGAAAGCGTACAAATTGTTGGCTCATACCCCAGGGAAGATTTAATATGTGCTTTATAGCTCACGAAGCAGTCTGTTCTGTAAGTATTCGTTTCCAGCCTGGCGAATGGCCCCTGACAGAAGCTGCTGGTGTCGTTTGTGTCGGCTGGACGACTTTCGTACACGTGCCCTTTTTGGTTGTTGCAGTTAAAGAGCGCTGTGAGAAAAAGAATAAAACAAAACATAGTCAGCAATCGCATGTCATCACGCACATTAAAAATCAACATAATTTTGCGAATCGACCTTTTTTTCAGCATCACTTTTCAAGGAGGACGAAGCAAAGTCGGCTGAACGAAGCCTAGAGGAAGAAAATCACCCTATCCACTTCACCATCACGATACTGACATAGAAACGAGACGAAATAACTAAAAAATCCACAAGAAAACTGTACGGCCATCTTCGCGCTGACTTTGGTCTGACTTTGGTCTAAGAATTTTCTATCACGATCATACATGTCTTGTTTGTACATGTAATATCTGAAATCGGGCAGCGTTCTTGAATGTAAGATATTCCTCTGCCATTGCCAGTAAGGTTTGCGCTATGATTGACTATCTTTCAACATTACGGGTGTATTTACCGTTCAAGTAAATTTCCCTTTGGGCCTTGACCGGGCTGTCAAGTGTCGGTCAGAGCTACTTTATCCAGGGGTTGTGGTGGTCCGCTGCATGAAATCTCTTGTGTTCTCAACTTACTACATGCCCCTGCACACCAATTAGAGTAGATCTACTTCAGTACTCGGTTTTCACATTTGCTCCGTATGTAGTATCACTGAGTTGCTAGTACTGAATTGTAGCTGACTACTACTATACAGCATGTTTAGCGTATCCCCGTGTGTTAGTGTACGGAGTTTGCCGCCCTATAAAAGCTGCTGCGCTTTACTGAATTCTAGACAACAAGTGTTTTACTGATTTCTACAACTGCAACACCAACAGAGCCGTGCAGAAGAGCTGTTCTGACCTCCAGGTGTGAAACGGAGAAGGGTTCCTATATTGCCTTTTTACATGTAATCCAGGTGTATACCTGAGTTCGATTAAAGTTAATTGGTGTTGATTGTCGTGCCTACACTCGGCTACCCACTACACAGACATGTTGTTGTTGTTACCTTTATTTTATTTCACCATAGGTACAGGCATTGCTGCCTTATTGCTGTGGATCATAAATTTTAATGATGCCACAGCTCCTAGGCTAT